CTTTTTGACGATGAATGCAACACCATTCCTTTTCAATTTGTCATTCCCTGCATAGTAAACCATGTGGTTATCAGATTCAAAATGGCCATTACCAGTCCATTTTAGCTCACTAATGCCTAAGATATCGATTTTATGCGTTCCATTTCATTTTTGACCACTGTGCTCATTAGGAACCTGTACATAGACCTAGAGGCAGTTGTTCGAACAGAGCACAGGAACATTGACTGGTTTAAAGTTAAGAAAGGTGTGCGACAAGGTTGTATTCTTTCACCATACTTACTCAACTTGTATGCTGAGCAAATACTACAAGAAGCTGCATTATATAAAGAAAAACATGGTATAAGGATTGGAGGAAGACTGATTAAAACAACATGTGATACGAAAATGACACAACTCTGATTGCTGAAAGTGAAGAGGACTTAAAATACTGATGAAGATCAAAGAGCACAGCCTTCGGTATGGATTGTATCTCAGTGTAAAGAAAACAAAAATCCTCACCACTGGACCCGTAAGTAAACAACATTCTTATCAATGGAGAAAAGATGGAAGTTGTCAAGGACTTCATTTTTCTTGGATCAACTATCAACACTCATGGAAGCAGCAGTCAAGAAATCAACTGATGTATTGCATTAGGCAAATCTGCTGCACAAGGCCTTTTTAAAGTGTTGAAGAGCAAAGATGTCAGCTTGAGGACTAAGGTGCACTTGACCCAAGCCATGGTATTTTCGATAACCTAATATGCATGCGAAAGCTGGACAGTGAATAAGGAAGACCATAGAAGAACTGATGCATTTGAGTTATGGTGTTGGAGGACAATATTGAAAGTGCCATAGGCTGCCAAAAGAACCAACAGATCTGTGTTGGAAGAAGTGCAACCAGAGTGCTCCTTGGAGGCCAGGATGGCCAAACTTCAACTCTCATACTTCGCACATATTGTCAGGAGGGACCAGTCACTGGAGAAGGATGTCAAATTTGATGAGGTAGAGGGTCAGTGAAAAAGAGGAAGACCTTCAGCGAGATGGATTGGCAAAGTGGCAGCATCAGTGGGCTCAAGCATGGCAACAATAGTGAGGTTGGCCCAGGACAGGCAGTGTTTTGTTCTGTTGTGCATAGGGTCGCTGTGAGTCTGTACCGACACTATGGCACCTAACAAGAAGAAGGGAGGGCCCTGCTGAGGCTGCTAGGGAACCAACAAATCAGCCACACCCTCAAGAGCCTTTCCAGGTGTAGGTAGTCTTGACCTTTGATCCTTTGTGAAATGCAGTCCTGGGACTGGCAGGGACTTGGCATCCAAAGGGTGGAATCCTATAGGGTTTACTTGGACTGCCTTAAGGGCAAAATCCCAAACTGGTTTTTCATTGTGTTACTCCAAACACCTACCACAAGCCTTTTTCTCAGTAGGAATTGAGCTAATATTTGTGCAATTAACTAAGTAAAAGGGAAACAGTCTTCTCTCCTTACTGTCTTCACCGTCATTCTCTATCTTTGCCTAACCCAAATCATAACCATTAACTCTGAAGTAATGTTTCTGTAAGTCACACTCCAGAGGGTCTCATTCTTTTGTTAGTGCACTTGAAGATTCACTTGGCCATTATGGGAAGTGCTGTAGGAACTAGACACAGCAGTCCCTCCTCTTGATCTTATTTTTTTGAGATGTGAAAAGCTGTTACTTGAACCTTTACTCATGAAATTATTTTGATGATAATTTTCCCCTCGCAGAGGCTAAAGGCAGCAGTTCACTACACTGTTGGTTGTCTTTGCGAGGAAGTGACATCAGACAAAGAGATGCAGTTCAGCAAACAAACCATTGCGGCGATTTCAGAGGTGACTTTTCGACAGTGTGGTATGTAGCCATGGTTCCCCATATACTTGTAGATATATGAGAGGTCTTCAGAAAAGTTCAAGGAAGGATGGAATTGAAATATAGTGGAATTTTTCCATGAACTTTTGAACCCCCCCCCTTTCAAACATCTATATTTTTCTGTGTGTATATATATATATATATATATATATATTCTGAATAAAGTCCTGAGGGTAGATTTTGCCTGGTAGGAATCTGTGGGTGGGCATATTTCCCCAAAGGCAAAGAACATTCTCATCATAAACTATTCAGGAAACATTTCTTTTTCTGAAGGTAATATTTGGATATTTTATGAAAAAACAAAATAACACATAAAGCCCACTGCCACAGAGTAAATTCTGATTCATAGCAACTCTGTAGAACAGAGTGGAACTGTCAGTCTTTACCGAAGTACACTCCTCATCTTTCTCCTTTGGAGTGGTTGGTGGGTTTGAACCACTAACCTTTTGGTTAGCAGTCCAATGCTTAACCCACTGTGCCACCAGTGATCCTTATTTTTATGAGAAGGAGTCCATGGGTGGCCACAAACACAAAGTTGGACAGCTGAAGGACTGGCAGTTTGAACTCTCCCAGCCCAGGTGATTTGCTTCTGAAATCTGAAAGGTCCGTCTTGAAAACCATGTGAAGTTCAGGTCTGCTCTGCGTACTTGGAGCCACTGTGATTAGGAATTGAATTGATGGCAGCTGGCATGCAGCACGTTAACAAAGCACATCCACTCCTTGATTATGTTTTATGCTGCCTTGATGAACATTAGACATTTACCTTTTTTTCTTTCTTTAATTCTTACAGTGTAGCTATTATATTATTCTATCAATCCTCTTTTAATTTTTTTTAAACTTTTTATTGTGAACTGAGTGGTTTACAGACAAGGCCACATTAGTTTTACATTCAACAAATCATGCACTTTGTTTCATCTCAGTGATTGCTATCCCCTCCACGCAATAACAGTTCTCCCACTTCCTCCCTGTGCTTTGTCTTTCCGTTCCACCCACCTTCCCATCCCTTCTCAACTTTGTCCCTAGGTAGTTGTTGCCCTTTTAGTTTTGAATGACTGACCATTCCATGGTTAATATACCTTACTAGTGTTGTTGATCCCTCTCTATATACCTGTCAACTACTTGGATGAAAATAGGGCCATGAGGGTGAGTTCCATTCCAGACCTGAAGGGTGGTTGTTGAGGGCCATAGTCTTGACTTCCTCTAGTCTCTTTTTGGCCAGTAAGCCCGGTCTTTTTAATAATTTGAGTTTTGTTCCACATTTTCTCCCACTCTATACAGAACCTTCTAATGTGATCCCCTAGTAGGTATTGGTAGCCTGGCACCATCTAGTTCTTCTGGTCTCAGAGTCATGATGACTGGTGTTCATGTTTCATTAGTCCATTGGACTGGTTGAGTCCAAGCAAATTTTTTTACTTTTCTTTCTTCCACACATGGAGAGACCAATATGTTGTACCTTAGATGGCTGCTCATGAACTGTTAAGATCCCAGTCCCTACTCGCCAAAGTGGGATGTAGAACATTAGACATTGTTTTGTTGGTTTTTTTAAATTAATTTCAGTGCTTTATAACATTTTTCTATTACCCATAGTTTATATGGGTGGTCATAATGAATAAAATGGCTAAAGAAACAAAAACAAACCCATTTCCTTGAGTTGATTCTGATTCCTAGCACACTGTTAACAGAGTAGAACTGCCCCACAGGGTTTCCAGAGCTGTCCGTCTTTCTCCTGCAGAGCAGCTCGAGGGTTCGAATCACTAACCCTTTTCATATAGCACCCCAGTGCTCACCCACTGCACCATCAGGGCTCCATAACAGTGCTAAAACTCACCTCACTGCCATCAAGTCAGTTCTGACTCGGTGACCTTACACAGGGTTTCTGAAACTGTAAGTCTATATAGGAGCAGGCAGCCTCATCTTTCTCACGGGGAGCAACTAGTGGTCTTGAACTGCCAACTTTGTGGTTAGCAGCCCACCTCTTACCAGAGTTCCTTAAAAATGGCTAAAGGCGATTATAAAATGATTGGCTGCCTGAAATGCCTCCTCTCCGATTTAAAAAGTTGGTTGTGTCACACTGTACATGTCATAGAAAGATTTAACTGTTCTTTGTGGTAGCTAAAATACATCTCTCTTCTCTTTCAGAAAATTTTGCAAAAGACCTTGAAATGTTTGCCAGGTGGGTAGAGGACTTGATCCTTTGATGCTGTGTTTATTTACCTTCTATTGATACTCTCCATCTGGCAGTGTATTTCAGGAGACCTTTAGCAATTCGTTTTTGGGCATTTTGTGGAGGCTAGTATTTAATTGTGACGCTATAAGAATGCAATACCTGCTTTAATCATGTCGATTCAGACTTGATTTAGCACTTTTTGACACTTGCCAAGTATTTTCTGTTCAAGACCAGGCGTTCTTCAGTTCTAGATCAAAAAGGTATGAATAATGTCTCCAGGATTGAATGCATGTGGCATGCATATTTTAAAAGCGTTTTCTGTGGGCTGGTTTGAAGCTTTGTAGGAGGGGGAAAAGGAGGGGACAAAAGGCAATTGCCTTGGGTCTGAGAACGCTCCTGTGGCGGGGGGGTCATGTTGCCTCAATGGCGCTGGTACGACATTGTGTTGGCAGATGTAATTGCTCACAGGTGTACAGATAATGACAGCACCGTCTACAGTCAGAGGCTTCCATTTGTCACATTTGTTAAGAGTAAGACATACTCCCTGAAAAGTGGGCGACTTGCTTTCAGTTGGCGAAGCTTTAGCTTTTACAGGTGATTTATACTCATCTCTTCAATTAGTACCTGAGGTAATTGAAAACAGTTGCAACAAATTGCTTTTATGAAGCAATTTGAATGACTAAGGCTGGAAAGGGCTAAAGCTTTCTAATTTGCTACCACTTCTGATTTGGTGCCAGTTTCTCCCACACCCCATACTTTTCACCTTGCTCCTATTAGCTCTTTGTTTCTCGGATGAATATTTTGAATGAATTAAAGCAGTAGGTTCTCAAAGGGCAGGCTTTAAATCTTTCCTGTCCCTGTATATATGAGCCCCTAAAAACCGCTTAGTATCTTCAATTTAGCCAAAAGGGATAAGATAGCATTATGGGATACTGGTAGCTCACTGAGCTTGTTCATTGTTAACTTAAGTGTAGCCCATCATCCTCCACCATGTCTCCTGAGAAATACATTTTTCACCCTTACTTGCCATTTTTACGTTCGCCGTGGAGAAAGATAATGAAATTTAAAAAGAAAACACTTTCCGAAAATTCTAGAAATAAAAGGGAAATGAGAATTATTTGCTTTGTTTTGCATTAAGCTTTCAGATACTCTGTATTTTATAATTGCATTTGAAGGCTGATTTTCTTTTGCTGCGTGCGGGGGGTACAGATGACAGGCACAGGAAGGAAATCATCTTTTAAGTAAAAGAGATTGGTTAAAAGCTCTTGAGGGAGATGAGATGGTTCAGTAGAAGAATTCTTCGCTTCCATGAGGTAGACCCAGGTTCGATTCACAACCTCAAGCATACCCTACCACCCATCTGCCAGTGGAGGCTTGTGTGTTGCTATAATGCTAAACAGTTTTCAGTGGAGCTTCCAGACTGAGATAGACTAGGAAGAAAGGCCTGGTGATATACTTCTAAAAAGCAACCAGTGAATACTGTGTGTCCCAGTGGTCTAATCTGCAACCATTCATGGGATAATGCAGGAATGGGCAATGTTTTGCTTCATTGTGCATAGGGTTGTCCTGACTAGGTGGTTGAATTGGCAGCAGCCAACTACAACAAGGAAAATGTAGATACAGGCATAAGTACAAATAGAGCAACCTGGTTTTGCTTGAAACCAGCATTATATATTATGTCTGTCAGCATTTAAGAGTCTCCACCCCAGAACATCTGTGGATGTGCTCATGTACTTTGTGATTGCTGTTTATCATCTTTAGATCTCTTGAGATGGATTCTGTCTCCTGATGGTCAGATATTATCAATCATGATGCAATGGTACTTGAACATTTAAGAAACTATATAGGATTAATTTGACTGAATTATGGAGTATAATTTCGGCATGGTTTTATCTTTTAGCTCAACAGTATTTGGTGGTGGTGGCTATGTGCTGTGGAGTCGGTTCCGACTCATAGCAGTATTTACTGATGATTTACTACATGCTGGGCACTTAGCTAGTTATTGAGGATAGGAGAATGGGCCTTTTCTACTTATTTGGTGGGAAGTTGGAAATGGGAAGAAAGGGGGTAATTCAGAGTAGTAAATGATTGAATAGAGCCTATTATCTCAAATGACCTCTTAAAGCAAAGATAAAGAGGACTGGAATGAGAACTTGAGTCTCAGTTTGCGAACTAGAAACAGACTCCAGTTTAAATTACATTCTTTGCTCTCCTTGGACTTGGTTGGGAACTGTATTAACTCCTTGTTGGGGAATGGGCTCTCAGCCTTTTCTTGATAAGCCTTTGCCTGTAATTTAGGCCTTGGAGAAGAGCTTCAGGAACTTGGTATAAAGAGGTTTCCAAAAGCTCTTGGAAGGAATTTTTCCACAAGCTTTGGAAGTCCTCTCTTATAAGTGAAAGCATGCTTCATGGAACTTCTCTCTGTTCTTCCATTTCACATCTACTTGGAAACGATCTGTATATAGTGGGACTCTGTCCATCCTCCTTACACTGAAGTCATACCCTCACCTTCACCTTGGTTTTTCTGTGGTGTTCACTGTGACCAAGCAGGTCACTTTTGGAAAAGTTGTAACTGTGCAGACTTCTTTCTTCTGCTCTTTAGGTACCCTTGGTCGTCAGACGGAGGCAGACAGATGGACTTCTGCTTTCTCTGTCTCTTTACTTGATGAGTCTCTTGGCTAGTAACGTCACTCATTTTTGCACCACTATTGCTTAATGACCTTAATCTAAGAAGATGGGCTATTAGAGAGCCTTGCTCATTTGAAGTCTGACAATGGACTTTTGTGTTTCATCAAAACTTTAAATAATACCAAACATTTTGGTGAATTGTTTCTGCCCTTTTTACAGACACGCAAAAAGAAGCACAATTAACACCGAGGACGTGAAGCTCTTAGCCAGGAGGAGCAATTCACTGGTGAGAGATGAATCTCTTCCCTCACTCCCCTTTCCCATCAGAATACATTATTCCCAATTAATCACTGGAAGCCAGGAACTTATCCCCAGGGCACCTTGCATTAAAAACTAGAGGTGGTTGAAACATTCAGACCTGCCTGTAATTTATAGTCTTTCTTTCAGTATGATAGATCTTGCTAACCCAATTTGAAATTTTCTAATCAGCACTCTTTGGATTTCATAATTTGCCTTTTTTATAATCTCTCAAAACTTTGATCCCATGTTTCATTGATAGCATGATGCCAGAGGCAGGTCACAGGCCAGGTAAAGAAGGAGCGATGGTATGGCCAGGAGGGCAAGAAATGAGAGCCTTTTCTATCTATTACCGTGTAAGCACTTTACAATTTACAGGTGCTTTTGTATATATGAAGGAGCCCTGGTGGTGATGTAGGATAAGCGCTGGACTGCTAACTGCAAGGTGGTGGTGGTGGTGATGTGCCATGGAGTTGGTAACGACTCACAGCTACCCTGTACAGGGTTTCCGAGGCTGTAAATCTTTACGGAGCAGAAAGCCTCATCTTTCTCCCACGGAACAGCTGGTAGTTTCGAACTGCTGACCTTGTGGGATTCATAACCACTACACGTGGTTCAAATCCCCCAGGGCACTCTGAGTCTGAGTTGACTTGATGGCAGTGATGGTGGTGGTTGTATTATTTAATCATTAGCCTCAGAAACCCTATACAGGGTGAGAAACCCTATACTTGGAGGAAGTCCAAGGTGTATTGAAGGAATTGGCAAAGAACAAGGCACCAGGAATTGATGGAATAAACATTGAAATCTTTCAAGGAAGTGAGGCAGCACTGGAGGCACTCGCTCATCTATGCCAAGAAATTTGGAAGATGACTATCTGGCCAACTGATTGAAAGAGATCCATATTTGTGCCCATTTCAAAGAGAGGTGACCCAACGGAATACAGAAATCATCGGACAATATCTTTGCTATCCCATGTGAGTAAAGTTTTACTAAAGGTAATACAGAAATGGCTGCCATCGTACATTGACAGAAAACTTCCAGAGGTTCAAGCCGGATTCAAAATAGGCTGTGGGGTAACGGATGTCATTGCTGATGTCCAATGGATCTTGGCTGAAAGCAGAGAATATCAGAAAGATGTTTACCTGTGTTTTATTGACTACACAAAAGCTTGATATTGTGTGGATCATCACAAGCTATGGACAACATTGTGAAGTATGAGTATTCCGGAACACTTCATTGTGCTCATGAGGAATCTGTGCATGGACCAAGAGGCAGTTGTTCGAACAGAATAGAACACTGAATGTTTTAAAATTAAGAAAGGTGTGCGACAGTGTTGTATTATTTCCACCATACTTATTCAACCTGTATGCTGAGCAAATAATCCAAGAAGCTGGGTTCTATGAAGAAAAACATGGCATCAGAATTGGAGGAAGACTCATTAACAACCTGCGATATGCAGATGACACAACTTTGATTGCTGAAAGTGAAGAGGACTTAAAATACTTACTGATGAAGATCAAAGAGCACACACAGCCTTCAGTATGGATTGCATCTCAATGTAAAGAAAACAAAAATTCTCACCACTGGACTAATAAACATTCTTATCAACCGAGAAAAGATTGAAGTTGTCAAGGACTTCATTCTTCTTGGATCAACTATCAACACTGATGGAAGCAGCAGTCAAGAAATCAACTGATGTATTGCATTAGACAAATCTGCTGCACAAGACCTTTTTAAAGTGTTAAAGAGCAAAGATGTAAGCTTGAGGATTAAGGTGCACCTGACCCAAGCCATGGTATTTTCAATAACCTCATATGCATGCGAAAGCTGGACAGTGACAAAGGAATACCATAGAAGAATCGATAAATTTGAGTTATGGTGTTGGAGGAGGATATTGAAAGTGCCATGGGCTGCCAAAAGAACCAACAGATCTGTGTTGGAAGAAGTGCAGCTAGAGTGCTCCTTAGAGGCCAGTATGGCCAAATTTCATCTCTCATACTTTGGACATACTGTCAGGAGGGACCAGTCACTGGTGAAGGATATCATGTTTGGTAAGGTGGAGGGTCAGAGAAAAAGAGGAAGACCCCCAGCGAGATGGTCTGACTTAGTGGCAGCATCGATGGACTCAAGCATGGCAACAATAGTGAGGTTGGCCCAGGATCGGGTAGTGTTTTGTTCTGCTGTGCATAAGGTCGCTATGAGTCGGTATCAACTCGCTGGCACCTAACAACAACAACATGAGTCAGAATCAACTTGATGGCTGTGGGTTTTTGTAAATACAACTTTCTATGTTACTTATGGAGCCCTGGTGGTGCTGTTGGAGAAGTGCTGGACTGCTAACTGCACGGTAGGACATTAGATCAACTAGCTGCTCCAAGAGAGAAAGAAGAGGCTTTCTGCTCCTATAAAGATTTACAGCCACTCATACTATGAGCTGGATTTGACTTAATGGTGATAGTGGCGGTGGTGGTGATTGTCAAGTGCTGTTGATTCCGTTCTGACTCTTAGTGACCCTGCATAGAGTTTCCAAAGAGTAGCTGGTGGGTTTGAACAGCTGACCTTTCAGTTAGCAGTCCAGTATCTGCTACTAGTCCACTGCTTATCCTACAGCATACCATGGTGGGTGGGTATATTTAATTTTCATAACCATCATATGAGGGTATATTCATTTCCTAGGGTTGTCAAAAAAAAACCCCACAAACTGGACGGCCCAAAATAACAGAAATTTGTTCCCTCTCTCATTTTTGGAAGCTAGATGTCTAGTATCCAGGTGTCGGCAGCACCACCCTCCCTCTAAAAGCTCTGGGGTCCTGGTCTCCTCCTTGTTTTATGGCTCCATAATTCTAATTTTTGCTGCTTTTCACCAATCTTCTGTCTTCACGTGGCATTTCCCTTGTGTCTGTGTTTCTCCTCTTCTTATTGGGAGCCCAGTCCTACTGGATTAAGGGCCCACCCTGCTCCAGCATGAGCTCATCTTAATTATATCTGCAAAGACATTCTTTCTGAATAAGGTCACAGTCTGATGTTCTGGGTGGACATGAATGATGGGGGCGGGAGGGAGGAGGGAGCATGATCCAACCCAGTATTACATAGGGTTATTAATAACACATCTTGGTGGTGGTGGTGGTGATAAGTGCCATCATGTTGGTTCTAACCACCAACCTTGTGGTTCAAACTGACCTCACAGTGCAGCACGTTATCCTGCAGCTCCACACTAGGACTCCATAACACATCTTAGTCCCATTTTATAGGCCAAGCAACTGAAGTTCACTAACTTCACCAAATTAAATATGAATGGAGCTTTCTGGGTGAGTTGATAGTTGAACCTTCTAACTCTGAATCTCGTGCCAATTCCATTGTGCTGTTTCCTCTCTTCTAACATCCTTTCTCCAAAGTCTTAAGATTATGGATAATGTGATTCCTAAGTAAAATAAATATTGTGCTTGATCTGTGTGTTGATGGAAAAGACATTTCTCAGCCTTTGTTAATTCTGTGCAGTGTCCTAACTTACTGTCTGCTTCAGAGTGCGGTTTCTAAGAACATTCAAAGGAATGGTCAGTGCAAGTCATCTTAGCAATATTATTTTCAAAAGCTCCGTTTGTTTACTCAGATTATTAGTTTTATTTTAATATTTCTTCATCTGACCACAACCTCATTACCAGAATTTGTATTTAAGTGCTGCCGAGTTGGTTCCAACTCATAGCCACCCTGTATAGGATTTCCAAGGAGGGGCTGATGGGTTTGAACTGCCACCCTGTGGTTAGCAATCCAGTGCTTATCCTACAGTGCCACATCAGGACTCTAATGAGTTGCAGCTAAATTTGTGTGTTTGATTACATCATCCATGAGGACAGGGGCCTTATTATCTTGTAACCCTGATATCTGGTACATCCTAGCTGCTCAGTAAATGTTAGCTGAATAAGTTTAGAGAGACACTGACTATATTTCTGCTTTGTAGAGCGCATTTGTGATTGACTTGCCTTACACAAGCGCCAGGGTTTAATTCTGCTTGTCAGGGAACTCCTACAGCGGAGTATACTGTTTGGAAGAGAAATGAGTAGCCGTGAGGTAGTTTTTATAATTGATTCCTTGTTCCAGAAAAAAAAATGTATTGCATCTAAGTCTTAAGAAATGTAGCCCATGTTTCTCCAGGTTGTCATTTTTAGAATAATTGGTTTTACAATCAGTTACAGTAACAATTTAACTTTTTGTTGCAGCTAAAATACATCACAGAGAAAAATGAAGAGATTGCTCAGTTTAACCTAGAACAAAAGGCAAAGAAGAAAAAGAAGCTGGAGAATGCAACCAAAGATCTAAGGGATTCGGCAGAGGCTAGGGAAGTGGAAAGTGAGAATTAGACTGATCGCCATTTGGAAAAGCAGTCTTCAGCAGGTAGAGCCACACAGAAATGTGGATTGTCACAAAGGGGATTTTGAAATTAGGAGAGAAAGGCCAGGAGGCATTTTATCCTTGATTTTCTATGTCTTTAATTTCAAAAGCGAATTGAAAAGAGAACTGGAAACTCTTAACCCTTTCATGATCCTGTTATTTTCTATTTTGAATTTTTAGTTGATACCATGTGTTTTCATTAATGGAAGGCATGCTGGATCAAGGAGCATTTCTGAAATTTCGTTATGAAATATAGATATTGATGTATGTATATATTATGTGGCTCACATGTCCCTATGGACTCCTTGGTAGGATTATAGAGGACATACTTGTTAACTCTGTGTTCTGTACCACCTCGTAGATCCCTTGACAGGGACATGCAATTTAGGGTACTTGGAAATGTGGTCCTCTTATGAACATCAGCTCATCATGAGAAAGGCAATTTCCAGGTAATGCACAGGAATCCAGAAAAATACTTACAATACTTGTCTCCCAATAAAAAAGGCAAAAGAGACAAAAGTTTTGTAAAGTAGCAACCCATGGACTGCATCGCCTCGAAGACTGTAAAAACAGTCATTTGTGGCACACATCCCACTTCTTCCATTTCAGTCAGTCTGGTCTGATGGCTGCATGGACAGCTGTCAGTGGGAAAGCAGCTGCCCATGATCCCTGGAGGAGGAAAATGTAGGCAGGTGGGTGCTATATGTCCCACAGGTCATGAAAAGGTTAAGCAAGATACTCCCATGTCTTACTTAAACACATAAAAAAGGCATTGTCTTTGAATGGGATATGTTGGAAGTGATATCTACTGGAGTTAATAAAACTGTTAGCAATTAAACATGGTCAACTTTTTGGAGTATTAAAATCATAGTTTATTTGCAATTCTCTTAAATAATTTTCCAGGCAAATAGTAATTCCTGAAAGAAAATGAATAAACCTGTATTTATTTAGCTCTTCTGATAACTGATAGTATGATGTTGTTCCATGTCACCTGTGATCACGGCTGAAAAAGGTGGATGTGTGGAAATGGTCCATATTACTTTTTTTGAGTTTTCGCCAATGTCTCTTATTGTTGTTGTGTGCTGTTGAGTTGGTTCTGTCTCATAGTGACCTTTTGTAGGTCGGTTTGAACTAATGGTCTTGTGGTGGTTATCCTTCAGCGCTACATCAGGACTTCCATCTTTAGTTCCAGATGAGCTTCCAGGACTCTGCCTTTCTCTGACATTTTTCTGGCTTTTTTTTTTTGTTTTTAAACAATGTTTCTCTTTGAGTGGAAGTAGAACTTGGGACCACTCCAAAATGCTCCAGTGTTTTGTACCCCATTTTTGTGAGATGCTTCCAAGAGCCCAGTTTTGTCTTCTCTTGAGTTTCTTTAAGAACCGGGGTATGTCTCTTCCCTGAGGGGCAGTTGGGGCAAAGGGGAGACTGACACTGACAGAGCCCTCCCTGTGTGCACTGGCGCTGGGGGCTCCCTTGAGTCTTCACAAATACATCTGGGTAGATTTGACTAGCCCCGTTTTTTGATGAGGGGACTGAAGCTTGGTGAGGATAACCAGCTGCTCCAAGTCACCTAACTATTGATTAGTAGAGATGGGACCCACATTCAGAGATGCAGAATCTAGAAAGGGCATTTATCTTAGATAGAATGTATAATACCCATGCCCAAATATGTTTAGCAAAAGACATCCAAAAGTCTTCACCTGTGGCTGTAGGAAAGCATTGACTTCAACATTCCTGACTTCAGGATGTGCAGCTAACCAACCATTTGATCTTAGATAATCATTGTAATATCTGTGAGTCACATCAGTGAAAGAAAGGCCAGTCATCCTTATTTTAGCCAAAGAGATGTGTGTGAGCAGTTTGACTTTGGGTAAGCTCTCTTTAGGCCCCTCATCAACAAGAGTTTATGAAATAGACACCAGTGGACTTTCCAAAGGACAGATGGTTCTAGATTTGCCTCCTGGTTTTACAACTCTAGTAACTATGACTTCTTGAAAGTTTGTGCTGGTATTAGTGAAATAAGGTTAAAAATAGTTTCCGCATGTAATAAAGATAATGGGTAGAAACTATTATGATGCATCTTATTTTTAGAGATTTTTGTAGCTACTTGAGGACTAAGGTGTGCCTGACCCAAGCCATGGTATTTTCAGTAACCTCATATGCATGCGAAAGCTGGACAGTGAATAAGGACGACTATAGGAGAATTGATGCCTTTGATCTATGGTGTTGGAGGAGAATACTGAAAGTGCCATGGACTGCCAAAAGAACCAGTAGATCCATTTTGGAAGAAGTGCAGCCAGAGTGCTCCTTGGAGGCCAGGATGGCCCAACTTCGTCGCTCATATTTCAGACATATTGTCAGGAGGGAGCAGTCCCTGAAGAAGGATATCATGTTTGGTAAGGTGGAGGGTCAGAGAAAAAGAGGAAGACCCCCAGCGAGATGGATTGGCCAAGTGTCAGCATCAATGGGCTCAAGTGTGGCAACAGTAGTGAGGTTGACCCAGGACCAGGCAGTGTTTTGTTCTGTTGTACATAGGGTCGCTATGAGTCGGTGCTAACTCAGTGGCACCTACCAACAACAGCAGAGGAGCCCTGGGAGCATTGTAGGTTAGGCATTGGACTGTTAACTGTAAGGTCAGCGGTTCAAACCCGTCCCCTGCTCCACTGAAGAAAGGTGAGACTGTCTACTCCATAAGATCTCATCCTGGAAAGTGGACAGACAGTCGTTGGGTTGAATTGAGTTGGCAGTGGGTTTAGTATAGCCACTAAAACTCAATATCTACATGGCTAGAACTATTGAACTGTGTGCATGGGCATCCTGGCTCTTGGTTGGAGGGTTGTAGATGGCACCTCTGGTTGGCACAAGTATGCTGATATGAGGTTCTCAAACCAGATAAGAATGTTGACTTGATTTACATGTAACCTTTTGGTTCGTGTGGCACATTACATCTTGTTTGGTGTTTAGATGTGTGGTCATACAACACCTTTCTCAGGAATCAGAGCATAGGGATGACTAGGCTTTGTAAGGGATCACTACCTCTGCTCCCAGTGTTCTCACGAGCTTCCCTACCTACACGTTCCAGTTAGGGATTCATTACTCTGGAATTTCCAAGGCAGTGTAGCTTACCCTTTATCATTCCATCCCTGGTCACATTTGGGCAAAGGAGCTACTGTTATGCATAGGGTCGCTATGAGTTGGTACCGACTTGATAGCATCTGACAGCAACAACAACAATATAAAAGTGTAAAGTTGGCTGGCTTACAAGCTTTCATGAGTGTGTTTAGTTTCAGAATGAGGAGGGTAAGGTAGAATTTACCACTAAATAGTTTTCCTCTTCTAGATGGATCTGATGAAAGGACGTGGGGAATGATGTGGACAGGAGTTGATGATTCAATTGTAGTTGTTAGAATTAATTGCGATGGTCACAACTGTAATTGTAGAAGATATGTAACTAAAAGAGGGGAATAGCTAATCATTCATTTCAGGAACAGAGGATCCCAAGACCATCAAGAAGGAAGAGAATGAATGGAGCATGAGTGGAGCGTGAGCTCCTACCTAGGGGAGTTGTGACAGTAGAGACAGTGACAGAGGCAATGGCATGGAGAGACAGAGTAGCTGCCGGCTCTAGGTCCATGAACTGAGAAACACTGCCTGTGGGCAGGAGGCTGGCTTGCAAAATGTGCCCTTTGGCCATTTAAATGAGTACTTTTTGTTTTATATGTATACTGGGCAGTGTTTCATTCTGTTGTATATAGGGTAGCTATGAGTCGGCACTGACTTGATGGCACCTAACAACAACAATGTGTACATAAATATTCTTGCTTTGTTCATTTGTGAAAAATAAGATGTAAAAGGGAAGCCACAGGGGGGAAGCCACAGTGAGGAAGCAGAGTAATTCTTGTTGCAGTGATGGGAATGTAATCATTGAGATGAAACAAAATGTTATTATTGGGTGAAAGTAAAGCTGATGATCTTGTCTGTTAACCTTCACTCAATTCACAGTAAAAAGTTTAAAGGAAAAAGAAGTAGCTGGCTGAGCTGCTATGAATTTTTCATCTGTAAGAACACCTCAGACATGTAATGCAGCTTGTGAAAATTATCTTAGTCAAAAAAATATTATGGTACAGAAAAAAGGGACTAAGCAACAAATAGTCATCAGGTCATGTCAGTTTTGCCTGCAATTTAAAAAATAATCTAATAAAAAACCTGGGCAAAGTGGAAGTTAAGATGGAGATTTCCTTTTGTGAAGGGGTTGTCGTTGTTAAGTGCCATCAAGTCAGTTCTGACTCAGTGACCTCTATAGCGTTTCCGAGGAGCAACTGGTGAGTTTGAACCATCGTATTTCAGTTCAAACCAACCTTGAAGTCCAGCACATTCACCCACAGCACCATACCAGGACTCAGTTTGCAAATTGAAAGCATAGTGCTGACTTCCGGAGAGCTGTCAGTTCTGGTTGTTTATTTCAGGTTTTCAGTTTAGAGCTTTGTCTCAGATACTCATCTTCCCTAAGTATGTTCTATGGGCCAGTTGAGGCTTAGTGGTAGAATTCTCACCTTCCATGCTGGAGACCTGGGTTCAGTTCCTGGCCAATGAACCTTGTGTGTAGCCACCTCCATCTGCTGGTGAAAGTTTGTGGTGGTGTGATGTTGAATAGGTTTCAGCAGAACTTCCTAAGACTGGGAAGAAAAGTCTGGCAGTATGCTTGTGAAAATCAGCCAATGAAAACCCTAAGGGCCTGATCCACAACTGATCATGGCAATGGCGTGGGACTGGGCAGTGTTTAGTTCCTTTGTGGGTGGGGTTGCCATGAGTCTGGGACAACACAAAAGCAGCTAACAACAAGAAGTGTGTTTCAGATCTGACAAGGTGTGTTCATTGGGTGAAGAGGGTCTGTGCACTTGCTGTGTGATGTTGAAATGAGCAGTGAGGGAAAGCCAAGAGGTGGCAGAGTCAAGGACCTAAGGTTCAGTACTTGCCAGTGGTAGTGCTGGCTTACGTAGGAAAGTGAGCTTCCGGGAACTGGGCAGGTGCAGGGCAGCCCTATGTTTCTCACTTGGTGGGGATCATGAAGACAGTAAGAAACATTTATACCTAATGCATTAGCATGAAACAATATTTGCCTTACTATACACAACACACTCTGTTCTCTTTTAGGTCTGTTTCATTCAAAGAAAGTGCTGGTCTCGGACCCACTGTTTAGTCACCTGCAGCTTACAGATCACTCTATACCAAGCTCAGTGTCACCTGGGATCTTCTTAGAAATGCAGAGTCCTGGCCCCTTCCCTCCCCAACATCAGAATCTGTATTTAAAGTGATTAGTATGTGCTTTACAGTGTGAGTAGTCCGGAGATACAGCAGTGTGTCACTCAGGTGTCCTTGCCTGCCATTGGGTGACGCTAGTTAGTGGGTGCTGTCAAAGCATCATCATCTGCTCTTTGTTTCTTCTGCCCATGACAGAGTCAGTCATACTTCTATGTAGGCAACATTTCAGATGTTAAGCTCCTTATCCAAGGCTAATTTTATATTATGTGAAATCATTTGGTTTTGTTCTCCTGACTTCCTGCTTGCCATAGGCATAATTACGAGGAAGTAGAACTTCTTTAGAAGCAAGCGCACATGCATTCCAAATCAAGAACAAATTCACTCTGAACACAGGAAGAGACCTGAGGCTTTAATTAAGGGGTTAAACCCAATTCAAATGCGCTTTGCGGGGCACTGATTGCTCAGGAGACTGCGTCACTGCTTGAGTGTGAGAGAAAAGGGGTACAGCTTTCGACATGAATGTATCTAAAAAAAAAAAAAACAGGGCTGGAGGTTGAGCTGAAACTCCACCCTACAGTCCCCAAAGAAGAAAGAGCCCCAATCCACGGAGTCTTGGTTTCAGAACTGCCAAGACCGTGAGCAGCAGTGGAGCTGGAGAGCCGTGCCCGTGGCTGCAGAATGCCGTTGACCCTCCGCCTCCTGCTGCTGCTGCTGCTCCCGGGGGCTGCAGCCACCCTGCCCCTGGGGGACAGCTTCCCCGGCACAGACAGCAGGGTGAGTACAGGCCCAGGCGGGCACATGCCAGTCCACTCTCTGTCTGTCTGTCTGTTGCCTCTTTGATCACCTCAGTGGACTCACCAGCATCTCCAAGCCTGAGTGTTGTGTTCCTGTGCTGAGTTCACAGATAGGGCTGAGCAGTCCCCGTGGCTCCCCCACAGCACGGGTGTCCCATTGCAGATGGTTGAGGTGGGATGGAATCCCACGAGGAGCATCTGCACACAGGTGGTCCTCACATGCCCATCCAGAGCCTCAATTTATACACCCAGTACACGTCCTCACTGGCCCAGATTAACTGCCGTAATTACATTTCCATTGTGAGAATTTGTAACTTCACGAGGTGATTGATTTTTCCCCTTTTTACCGTTTTGATAAAGTTCCAAGAAAGAGTGCATAAACTTGACCATTAAAGATGGATTTTTCTCTGAAATTACCAGACAAGTTTCAGACAGGCCATTTATCACCCAGTTACTGCTAGATGTTTTCTAAGGAATTTGAGAGACTAGACCATAGTAGTTCAAGTTATAGTCTCGAAGAGAAATCCGTGGACATCTGGGAGTATGACCAAAATGGAGAACCAAGTCAACAAGCCTTATCTGATTTAGGGGGCTTCTTGGTGGCTAGTTACCTGTCAGGGGAAGATCATATACTCCCGTAACTCTTCTGATGAAGGACCTCAACAAAGGTTATGTAAGGACAAAATAAACTGATCTTTTGCTTGTTTTCCTTGACTAAAAATGGTCACCTCTTTCTTTTCTCTCCTTACAGCATTTTCCTTAAGGTGTTGTCTAACTTTCTCATCCATTAGATGGAAATGTGCTTTATTGCTCTGAAGCATCTTCTTGTTATAATAAGGAAAGGGTTCTGTATTGTTTCATGCTGGCTGAGCTGCTGATTTCTGTTTCTTTACCATCTGTTTCTTTTTTAAAAGCACCTGCAGGAAATGACAGAAATAAAGAAAAACGGCCTCTTGACTTTCTTAGATTGGTGGAACGAGTGGAGCCCCCAGGCCGGGGCAGTGCCCTTCGTAGGCGGGGAGACCAGGAAGGTGACTAAGCGGCAGGATAGCCTGCCCCCTCGGCAGAGCACGCGCCCAGAGAAGTCTCCCTGCAAAAATTTCTTCTGGAAGACCTTCTCCTCCTGCAAGTAAATCTCTCAGCCCATACAGAGAAGTGTAATGATGAACCCAAATAAAGTGAATTAAGTAGCCGTGACGCTTCTCTTTTTTTTAAAGTTTTTTGTTGTGAATGTATACGCAACAAAATACACCCCATCAGAACAATTTCTACATGTGCAATTCAGTGACATCAATTACATTCTTCAAGTAATGCAACCATTCATTCTATCTTTTTTCCAGATCATTCTACCTTACCTTAAAACTCAGTGCCCCCTAAGCAAAATCCTCCCCTTTTCCTGCCTATTTAATATAAGTGAGACTGGCTGACTTCACTCAGCATGGTGTTTTTAGTTCTCCAAGGTCGGCATGCATCTGGACTTCCATTGTGTGTGTGTACCAGTTATTCAGCTGTTGATGGACATTTTGGTTGTTTCCACCTTTGGGCTGTTGTGAAGTGTTGTGAAAAATGTTGCAGGGGACATGGGTGTGCAGGTTTCTGTGTGTTGCTGCCTCTGTCTTTTAGGTTCTTCCAGGATTGGGATTGCTGAGTCCATTTCTTTACACGTTGTAAGAAATAAGAACGGACGAGATTAGGAGAGAGACTTGGTTTCAACAGCAGGCAGGCTTATTGAGAGTCAACCTGGGAGGGGGTACTCTAAGTCTCCAAGAGACCAAAAGCCTGCCTGTTTCTTACAGACTGGGGTATTTAAGGTGATGTGGTCCTGGGTACAGTTCTGGTGAATTTCCAATGGGCAGGGTTATGGAGATTTTCCTGAAACTACCTGGGGGGAGGGTCTCTTGGTGTAATGAAGACTTAAGCTTTCTGGAGACAGAAGCTTAAGCAGGACTTTATTCTGTGCCACTTGGGGGTAGCTGCAATGCCATTTTGTTGATCGGGTGCAGGGTTTTTCACACATGTTAAATCTCTTTCCTGTGTAATTCGAAATCTATTTTTAATCCTCAGTAATACCCTAAACTGATAATTGCCTTGAGTAATTTGGAGCCCAAAGTAGACATTCTTAATTCACATTTTTGTGGCTTTACTACCTCAGTACACAGTGCCGCCATTGAAAAACTTTTATTTCCCTGTCTTCCTTTCTTTTATTTGAAGTAGCTAAAGGTTACTTATTATACTGTGGACTGCCAGAAAAAACAAACACATCTGTCCTGGAAAACGTATAGCCAGAATGTTCCTTAGAAGTGAGGATAGTGAGACTTTTTCTCATTTACTTTGCATGTGTTATCAGGAGGGGCCAGTCATTGGAGGAGGACATCATACTTGATGTAAAGTAGAGTGTCAGCGAAAATGAGGTAGACATTCCATGAGACAGTTTGGCACCGTGGCTGCCGCAGTGGGCTGAGACACAGCGATGAGTGCAGACGGTGCTCCCTTCTATTTTGCCACCACACCTTGTTTTGCTCTGCCTTACTGCATCTCACAGACACTGCGAGTTTTGTTTTGTTTTTTACCAATTTAAAGTTTGTGGCAACCCTGCGTCAAACAATTCTATTGATGCTACTTTTCCAACAGCATGTGTGCTCACTTGATGTCTCTTGTCACATTTTGGTGGTACTTAAAGTCCTGGTGTGGTGCTGTGGATTAATGCGTCAGACTGCAAAGCTGTTTGAACTGCAAGGTTGGCAGTTCAAGCTCACCAGTCGCACCTCGGAAACCCTATATAGGGTCGCTATGGGTCGGAACCGACTCGATGGTACTTAACAAAGTATTTCACATTTTTTCATAATGCTACTGCATACTTAATAGACTACAGTGTAGTGAAAACATAACTTTTATAGGCACTGGGAAACTGAGATTTGTGACTCGCTTGATTTCAATATTCCCTTTATTGCGGTGGCCTATAGTGGATGGAGTCCACATTATCTCTGAGGTATGGTTGTACTTAGAGTAACCAGTAGTCCGAACTGACTCCATGGCACCTACCAACAGCAGGATGACATCTTAGTTTATTTTGATATAGATCGTCTAATTGAAAAGTATTTTCCTCACATTAAGAGCAATTTTCACAATGTACTCAAAGAGCAGAATGATGCTGCTCCATGTTTTAACTAAAATTAATTTTAAATGAGTACCGTGTTAACCTACTGCTTAAAAATACCTATTTTGACTGGCAACCTCATGTTAATTTGTTAATTTTTTCAGAGACCCAAGCTTCAAGCTTGCTCTGTGAGGACTGACCTCTACTATCAAAGTCTTGTTAGTTGCAGTTGAATCCATTCACACATCTGGGGAGCCCATGTGTGCACAGTAGAACTGCTCCATAGGGTTTTCAAGGATGTGACCTATTGGGAGTAGAATGCCGGGCCTATCTTCTGAGGGGCTTTTGGATGGGTTCGAACTGCCAACCTTCTGGCTAGTACTCAAACACAGTGAACAATGCGCTACATCCAATAAATCTATCCAAAGTATCAAGACTTCATTCCATGATAAATGGATATGTATTATGTGTACAATTACAGTATTTGGTTTCCCTTTCCTCAATTTTCAGAGGTGACAGTAAAGTAGGATTGAACAGAAGGAAAATATTTCCACCGACTGCAATGTAATTCAGAAGCACCATCAAACTCCACAGCAAGCAGGGTGTAGGTCTGCTCAAATGAAATTAGGATTAAACACATCCCTTTGTTTCAGAGCCCATAACAAACTAATTTTCTCTCCTAGCACTGGAATCTTACAGTATCATTTCTGACTGTATTGTAGATTCCAAAACTTCCAGTGTAAAGGTTTCAGATGTAAAACTTTAAGGTTAGTTTTAACATTCATCAAATGTTTAAAATTCAGTAAGTCTCAGAAGGTAGAGGCTGGCAGAATACTTGCTAATATCCCTCTCTTCTCTGGACAGCAGGGGAGTATACTCAAAGAGTAGGACTGCTGACCATTCTGTTCTGTTTTCCACAGAGCTGAGCTCAGATTCATAATTACTAGCTGAATAAAGTATAATGTGAGGGACGAGCCTTAATGGCATTCACATTTCCAAACAGCAGCTTTAAGAGACCAGTAATTGGGTCACTGCACTGGTGGACGATGCCTACCTGAAAGGTCAGCTAACCTTTAGAACTTGGACGATTTTTCCAGATGAAACACTGCAGTATTTTTCAACCTAATTTGCGGCTATACATGTAGAGTAAAATTGAGATTTTTAAACTTTAAAGTAAATCTGAAGGTTAATGAGGCTAGTAGTAGTGGTTTGTGCTATCAAGTCCGTTCCAGTTCGTACTCATAGCAGCTCTCTATAGGGTTTCCAGTACTGAGGGGAGTAGAAAGCCTCATCTTTCTCCTGTGGAGCAGCTGGTAAATTCGAACTGCTGACCTTGCAGTTAGCAGCCCACCTTGTAATCCACTTCCAGGGATCCTTAATGAGGCTAGTAGTAAAGTTGTCCTTTAGTTGATTCTGACTCATGGTGACCTCGTGCATGTCAGAGTAGAACTGTGTTCCATAGGGTTTTCAAGGGCTGACTTTTCAGAAATAGATTGCCAAGCCTTTCTTGTGAGGTACCTCTGGGTGGACCTGAACTGCCAACTTTAGGTTAGCAATGAGCATTTGCACCACCCACAAGCTCTATAATACTGCCTCCCTTGGTGGTGCTATAGGATATATAGTACTGGACTGCTAACCACAAGGTTGGGTAGTTCAAACCCACCAGCTGCTCTGTGAGAGAAAGATGAGGCTTTCTGCTCCTGTAAAGATTTACAGCCTCAGAAATTATATATAGGCTTACTATGAATCAGAAACCCAGACCAGTAAGTCCACAGGATACCCTTTAAAAAAATTACCTTATTGAAATAATTGTAAGTTGGGTGGGGGGGGCAGCTAGAATTTTTTTGATGATAGTTCTTGTAACATGATAATGGAAAGTATTGAAAACAAAAAATCCAAGATCTATGATTAACTGGTTGGCTCTCTTCCAAGTAATTGCAGCTGCATTGTTTCATCTGATTCTAATATATAGCCAATTTTGAGGTTTTGCAATCTGAAAATGCAATGGATCTCCTGGGGTGTCATTTTTGTTCTCCTCTTCCAGTTCCTGAAAGCTGTTAAGTGCAGTCCAGTCAGTTCCGACTCAGACACTGTCATCCTCACAATCATTGCTGATTGAGCCCACTGTTGCGGCCAGTGTCAGTCCATCTCATTGAAGGTCTTCCTATCCTGAAAGATGGTGTTGTGTGCCATTGAATCGATTCTGACTCCTAGGGACTCTAAGTGACAGTAGAACTGCCACAGTTCTATTCCAAAGAATGGGTGGCAAGTTTGAGCCGCTGATCTCTTAGCAGCCAAGCACTTAGCCACTTGCAAATGGGTGGGGCAGGATGCCAGACGGGTCTTCTAACCTCAGGAAGTGAGGAGGGAATTGTGCAATCAATCACATACAGCCACTGACTCAGTCAGTTACTTGATTGACTTATACAATGTTATAAAAGCCCCTGAACACAGTAGTTGGGATTTCTGGATTGGTGAAAGCATGTGTACCTCCCGAGAAGCAATGGAAGTCTCAAAACAGGACTTCTCCCAGGCTTTGCCTGTTTGTCTCTTCCTTTGTGTCCTTTTACTAGTAATAATAAATGTCAGGCTTAATCACCTGAACTGAGATAACTTTAAGTATCAATGACTTTGTGAACTTTGTAAGTTGTTCCAAGGAATGAAGAAATCTACAGGGGTCAGGGAGAACCAGTAGAGCTCCAATCCAGCTCTGGGAGGCTGACAGGTTTGAGAGTGTGCCAATTTGGCAGCTGGCAACATGGACAGATGTGTGAAGGTGAGGACTGGATTCACTTCCAGGTGGAACTGGATTCATGCTGATTGTTACCACTCACTGGGCACTCAAGGTTGGGATTGCCCACCTTGGCCATTGTGTAGCATCTCTGTTGGAGGGTTTCAAACCAGCTGGAGGATCCCTTTTTCTGAGCTGTGCAGTGGCTAAGGGAATAGAGAGGGTTCAAACTAAATCATTTAAAAACCTCAAGTACTGTAAGATACAGTCAAAGTAATTTAAGGTAAAACTCTACCGATAAAATG